TTTTCTAAAAGCAATTACTTCTCGGTGACCAGCTGATCATGGATTTTTACGAGCTAGGCAAGTTCAAGTCCAGATCAACGCTACTGGCTTGACTGACCTAACCTGATTTCTAGCCTGTCCTGGTTAACTTCTTATAGTTAAAGAGTTTACTTTGTTTTAGTTTAACCTCAAATCTTTATCGATCAATGTTTATTTTGGTATCGGTTGACTGTAGTCATTTCCATTGATAAAATTGTAGAACATTTGAAGGGACTCTTTCGGTTTCTCGTTTGCCGACGACGTGAAATTGACGGCGCACCGCGAATCGTCAAGAGGTCGACGCCTGAACAAAAGTGATTTGAAGTTTTAAAGCGTTAGGTAATCTGTAGTAGGCTAGGTATCAGGTACCGAGTTCAGACAAGGGAAAGGCACCGAGTCAAGATCGAATCGAGGATCGAGAAAGATCGAGTCGAGGCCTTTTGACTCGAGATCAAATCCAACTCACAGAGTCGGGGATCGGGGAAAAGGCAAGCTTGCCTCGGTGCCTTCCCCTTGTCAGTCTTATATATTCACTACTTTGCTCCAAATTGCTTCTCGGCGACCGGCTGATCATGGATAAAATGGGTAAAAAAAAGAAGAAAGAGAAAAAGATGCCCAGAGATATATTAGTGAGAGTCAATGACAAAAGGGCAGTGAAAAATGACTTAAAACCCTCTACAGCACAAAGGCAACAAGCCATAGTTGTGCCCGTTTATAAATTTCCTTCTTCATTATCAATTCCTTGCACTGATCTCTTACCTTTTTCCTAAACCCCCTAGCATCAGGAGACCGGACAGAGTTGGGGTAAATGGGAAAAGAGTAGATCTTGTGATCGGTGACCCTCGGAGGAAATTTCCCCGCCTAACAGAGTGTGCCAATGCGCAGTCAGAGGTCGGGGTAAAGGTATTAGATCATAGAAAAGGGAAAGGGTGACCCTAGGAGGAGGGCTACTCATCCATCCCTACCCCAGCCTACCCTAGCCCCTGGGGTCCTTCTCCTTCTCATTGCGCAACTCATCCCCGCCCTAGATAACGGTCTAATCGTTTGTAATAGGGGTCTTTTTTGGGAAGATTGCCTTAAATCTGACAAAATCTGAGGCATTTGGGGAGGTTGTAAAGCGGAAAAAACCCTTTGGATACTCGTAAAAAACCCGATGGCAATTTAGACTTTGAGAGTTTGGGGATTGGGTGTTTATGATTGCTTTTGGCTGTATGAGATTTTAAAAAATGAACCAGTAAGTGGGGAAAAATAAACCAGTGAGTTAGTGTACAAGTAATAGTGGAAAAATTTGATCTTGGATCTTTCTGGAATTAAGAAAAAGTCGATTGAAAATTGATGCTTTGGTTTCGGCTTTGGTTTAGGCTTTGGTTTAGCAATCAAAATCCTTGAATTAGTAGATTGTAAATCTGGTTCTCTTTTGGAACTATTTCCGGTGGCTTTTTAGAAGTTTTGGTACTAATAAAGTTCGGGGGAGAGCGCTTTGATCTAATTTGGTTAGTTCGTATTTTTCGACCCTTTTTACCAATGTTATTTCATTTTTTTCTGGGTAATCAAACGTGCTGGATCTATTCGTAATATCTAAACTTAAATATCTAAAGTTTTGAACAATCTTTGTGAATGTTTTGTTGAGCTAGCTGAAATAGAACTGTCGCAGTGCCGCGACGCTGAAAAAGGAGGCCAGGAGTGAAATACAAAGTGAAAACTATTCAAAAACACTCTAAAAATATCACCAATAGATTAAGCGCATTGGGAAAATGCGAAAACCTTGGAAAAGATGGAAAATGGAAAAGCAGACTAGAAAAAACACGCGTAAAATAGGTTGATCAAGTCAAAGTGTCCCCGGAACTTTACTAATATTGAAGTTTTTGAAAACCGACCATCATATCGTGTCAACATGCCGATTGCCGGTGGAAGTTGGTCATTATCATTCCAAGGTTCTTTTGCTTTCTAAATTCAAAGTACTTGTGACTTTTGGAACTATTTTAGCTGACTTTTAGAAGATCTTTTTCTATATTTATATGTCTGAAATGTAAACTTTATTGTTCAACTTCATCTATGCAAATATAATAAAAGATAGGCCAATTTGCGTTTGCGTTTCGTTAGAAAACGTCACGAGTACCTCACACAAAAAGCTTGCTTTGTATTTGGAGGAACAGTAAGGGTCTCGTGTATTTTGAGGTGCTGGATTCGGGTCAAAGAGTCACGGCGGATCTCTACAAAGTCCAATTGAGCCGCGTGGACCAGGCGTTGCGTCGTCAAGGCAATAACACGGCGACTACAAAATTCCTCCACGATAATGCTCGACCCCACACCGCGAAGATCACTCTGCAGAAAATCGAGGAATTGGGCTGGGAAGTTCTGCCTCATCCGCCAGATAGTCCGGACTTGGCCCCATCCAGCTACCACTTGTTTCGGTCGATGCAGCACTCTTTAGCAGAAAAAAAATTCAAAAACCGCGAAGAAGTGAAATCTGGGTGTCCAACTTCTTCGAGCCGCAGTTACCCGAGTTCTTCGAAAAGGGCATCCATTCTCTGCGTGGAAGATGGCAAAGAGTCATTGATAATTATGGCGAATATCTTTTGGGTTGAGGTTCTGTATTAGGATTTTTATAATAAATTTTGTTTATATTTCCAACGGAAGTTTCATCTGCACTAACCTAATATTTTCATTTCAAGAAGTCTCAAGAAGTCTAGATATGATATTGAACAACGCTTGGTTATTATTTTCAGAGTAACATTATTTTTATGAACTCACCAAAAGCTTATATCCCAATCGTTGCACGAATTGCTCATTGTGGACCACGTTGCATACAGAATCAATGTCGCCGTTGAAGAACATCACCTGGAAATGGAGGAATGGAGGAATGATGAGAACTAGGCAATTGGAGAAGAATTTAAATCACAAACCTTTTTCCGATAGTAGATAACTTCTTTGACGAACGGTGAGATGTCCAAATATTGTTGAATGTAATCTTCAGCGATCGCGTCACTGAAAAACTTTGACTCAGGAAATTTGCAAATTTAGCCCAGTGGTAAAGCATCTGTCAAGCGGAAGGTCGACGGTTCAATTCCCCTCGATTCCAAATTCTTTGCCATTCATCTCTTTACTTTATTAAGCAAAGATAGGGATCACTCTAAATATAAAAGACGAACTTGCAATTGCTGTACGGTTGTACATCAGAAGGGATATGAAGAGCAGCTCTCACATCTTGTCTCATCAAATACACAGTACTGTCATTGTAGTGAGCACAAGAGGGAAGGGTGTCCAACTGAACAGGATGTACTTGTGCTTCACTTTTGCAAGCGCAAGCTTTCTAGCGCACTCGATTTCCTAATTTCCTTGCGATTCCTTGCGAAGTAATTATTTGTTTTGAATATTCTAGTAATCAAAACGGAGTATTTTGAACTTTTCCTCTTACAACAAACTTTTGGATATTTCTTTCCCTTGATCGCTTTCGTTTTCTGTTTGATTATCGCCATGGGTGGGGAGGAGACTTGGGGCTAAATAGGAGATTGTAAAAAACTATTCAAATTACCATACCTGATCAGTCAAATAGCAGGTGAAGTAGAGGAAATAAGGATCCAAGCCGGTGTAGTAGTTCGAATAGTAGAGATCCATTGACTGAAAAAGACATTAGAGATCTCTCTTCGATCAGCTAGCTTATCGGTCAAAATCATGATAAAAGCAGCCGAAAAACACAACTACATAGAATTCTAAGCCTAACAAACTAAAAATCATGTAAATCGGCCTACGGAACAGACGAACGGACGGACAGACATTTCCCTTATATATACAGTAGATTTACAATATTCGTGCACGGATGTTTATCATTGTTGGCCATTGCATAGAAATCACAATCACCACTGCTGCAACACTTTTGAACAGAGTTGCGGTAGAATCTAGAAACTTATTCTTTGTGCCAAAGTTTTTAGCGGTACTGATCTGCCCAACTTTTTTTACTCAATCAAAACCAACGTCTCATCGATGAACCCGTGATTGTAACTGTATTGGATCAGTGAGTTGAACTCGAGCTGTGAATTGAGGCAACCATTGCCGACAAAGAAACCCTGATAAAGTACCGTACTTGGAATTGAAAAGTTTCTTGGTCCAAGTCCACTGTTTCACTCACTTTGAAGTTCGGGAAATTCTTCCAGTCATTCGACAATCTTTGAGCCAACATTGGCACATAAGTTCCACCGTAACTCTCACCAGCCACATAGAAGTCGTTTGCGCGGCCCTCCGGGAATTTCCCCAAACCACAACATCATTGCCTAAAAAACGTTCAACTCATTTTTGTTTTATAATGAACTCATAAACCTAATTGAAAATCTGAAAATTGTACACCCTTTACCAGTTTGCTACTGTAACTACGACCTAGTCTATAGCTTTGAACTAGAATCACTTTACAGTACACTTTCCAGTACTGTAAAGTACTGTAACAGGCAGTACATTCTTGTACTCTTGCAAACTCACAATGAGATTATCATTTGCCACTTCATCATCCGTGTAATTCCACAAGCCGTCTCGTCGAACCGAGAAACCGACACCGGCCGGTGCGTCCAGGAAGATGATGTTAGCGTACTGAAAAATCAATTCAAAATAGTTTTTGAGCTATTTTACGGTTTTTCAGATTACCTAGTTTCTAATCCTTACCTTGTTCCACGAGTACGGATTCAACACCACCTCTTCGCCGAAATTGTTGACTCGGAAAGGGCCCAATTCAACGGTCAACCCTGAATTTGTCTTGACACTGAAACAGAGGTTGATGTTAATAACAATCTTCCATTATTTTCCATAATATTGACTTCTTTTCGACTAAAGTCTTACATTTTCCTGTTCAATTTGTCCTTCTCAAAAATCACCACCGAAACTTAAAGCAAGTAAGGTAAAAAGTCAGTTGCTTTTGTGCAATCTTTTTATCCTTTCTATGTAAAGGGAATAAATATTCAAAAACACAATTTAATACCCAAATTTGACACAAATAAGCTGCATTTCCAATGTTTTTATGATAAAGACTCAATACCTTGCAACGACGAACATCCAGGTCCACCATTTAGCCACAAGACCACTGGATCGGTGTCTGGTTTGTTTTGTGACTCGACGTACCTGTAAACATTTGTCTTGAAGCAAGACTTCAAGGTCTTCTAGTCTTCATTTTGTCTAATAGTTTGCATGCAGCTTTTTGTTCACTTAATATAACCGGAAAATATCAGCCATCATCACTAAACACAACCCAAAGCAAGTAAAAAAGGTTGTATAGGAAAAACTGAAAGATTATGACTAGAAAGTTATTCATTTACATACAAAAATAGTCCTGTATTGAGCGGATATATCCCTGAATTTTCTTCATTAGCTGCCTAACTTTCTTTTAATGCAAGCTTCTTTTAAAGTGTAAATAATTTAAGAGAGATATAACTAGAATTGGTTCAAAGTTGGTGTTTTTTAGGGATGTTAGGTTCGATCTAGAGTGAAGTAAGGTCAAACGTCCGATCTAGAATCACACTCTAAATCAGACGTCTGATCCAGACTTAGATTTAGAGTGACGGCTTGATTCTTGAATTGACTTTTGACCTCACTTTAGTCTGTAACATGTAAATGAAGAACAATGTAAAATCGACCGAAATAGTAATCGTAACCAAGCAACAATCATACCCCACCAAAAGCTCACCAATAATACAAGCTTTTTGTCGGATTTATATCAACATATCCGGAATATTGCTTGAATGGGAGATTTCCTTTGAAATTCGGCAAACTCGTGATCCGCTCGTTCTCCGGAGCCGATTTGGTCAAACAAAATAAGAACCCAAGTAGGAAAATGAGAGTTTTCATAACTAAAGTTTCTTTTAAACTATAAAAACTAACATAGTTTGGTTTAAAGCTTGATGTAAAATCGAAATTCAAAAAGCTGAATATTTTCTTATCACTGTATTCATTGCATCAAATTCGTTTCCCGATTTTACAAGCCCCGTCACTTCAGACTGAAAAAAGCGATTACAATTCCAAACATTCTGGCTACTGGAAAGACTTTAACTTGACTTGAATTGCCTTGACTTGACCAGCTCTTAGCAAAACTTTAAAAACAACCAGTATAGGTTGTCTGACTACCGTGCTTAGGCAGGAGTTAGATCAAGTCTAGATCTGGTCCTCCTCTAAAAAGTTTAAAAGGATCCAGTTTGAAAGAACTGATTTTTGACTGATTTGGATTTGGTCCTGGGGCTTGGTTGAAAATCCGTGCAATAATTTGTCAATGCTCTGTTACACAAAACTCTATTACAATATTAAAAATCTCTCGAGATGGATCTATATTGTAACTCGTAAAGCCTAAAGTTATAAACAAGCCACGTGAAGACCTTACTGAAATCGAAAAAGCCTCTGAAAAAAGCTTGACTTTATCTTGATGCTACCATTAGGAGAATAGGGTCAGTGTGTTCCCGTAAGCAAGGCGCTATCAAACAAGGAAAGGGGATCAAGTCGAGCTAGCCTTTTGACTCGAGATCAAGTCCATATAGAGTCGGTCATGGGGATCTTAAATCTGTTTCTAGTTCTTGCATAACGCTTTGTGAACGCGAGGTATCTAAATCTCGGATTCCTTGAGAAGCCGACACATGCTGTCTTAACAACTGCTTCGGTGGTCTAGTGGATAGTCTACTAGACTACCGAACTATTACGTTTTTGTCCCCAAGTTCGAGTTCTACTCTCACCAAAATTTATTTACTCTTCTAAAAACCTGTTTCCCTACGTATTTTCAATGAATAATAGAGCTAAATTTTATGCACCTGTGGCTTTCTGAAATGTAGCAACAAATGTTAAATTTTCAATACTTATCTGCTGATTCTGATACTTTGAAAGGTTCCAGCTTTTGTAAATCCGTGACGCTTTTGCACAAGAAAGTCCCATTGGAGTTCACCAAGGCTCACATGAACCAGGATTGGTCTAAGGTTAGAAAGCAACTTAGGTTCTATTAATATTTGTCGTTTAGGCCATCTTATGCGCTGAGAAAGAAAAGAGAAAAGAGTGTCTGCTACTTTGAAAGGTTCCAGCTTTTGTAAATCATTTGTTGAAGTTTTAAGTTATAGCGGTGTATAAAACTCAAGTTTATAATTTAATGCAAATACGTAGGGAAACAGTTTTTTAAAAAGCAAACAAAGCTTGACGAGAGTGGGACTCGAATCTGAGGGGCAAAGGCTGTAATAGTTTCGGTAGACTAGCAGACCATCCACTACACCACCGAAGCGGTCATCAGGGAAGCGTATGACGGCCTCATAAAGGGCTCGAAGGCTTGAGGATGAAGAAAAGAAGGTGATATTTTATGCTAAATATCTCACTTTTGCGAAGCGTTCTCCAAAAACTAAAAAACGAATTCGAGATCCCCATGACCGACTTTATAAGATGGATTGGGTCTCGAGTCAAAAGGACAGCTTGACTCGGTGCTTTTCCCTTTTAAGAGAAGGATGATTTTGAAAACTACCTTCATTCTTATTTTCTCCTTTCTCCTTCGCTTATAATCCGCATTCGATGATGAGATCTGTATTGAAGAAAAAAAAATAATCTGAATAAAATCTGACTACAAGGTTACTGTCGTTCTCAGAATTGGCCATCTCTGAGAACAAATAGAGTATATGGAATTGTCAACTCCCTCTTCAATGTCCTGAAAATCTCAATGGGCTTCCTCCCCGCCATCTCCATCCTTGATCATCCGTCCTGTCTCCTCCATTCATCCCTCAACTCCTCCCGTCTTCAATTTGCGAATTGTTAGGACACACTCGTTTTGATCTTCAAAAACTGCCCAGCTCTGGTAGTACTTTTTTTACGGTGTACTTTATGATCAAATCTTGTAAATACATCCTTTCTGGCGTCCTCGAGTCGTTGTTGCAAGAAAAGCGAAGAAATCTGTGCACCAAAACGGTGGTGTCGACAAGACTCGATCAAAAAGTAGATCACAGAGCTGTGTTGTGTTTATAAGATTTGATTCTTATAAACACATCCTTTCTGGTGTGCTCAAGTCATTGTTGCGAGAAAAAACGAAGAAATCTGTGCGCCAGAAAAGTGATGCTTACAAGTTCCGGCCACAAAGTATGTTACAAAGCTCGAAACGCGACTAAAGCTACAGTAACCGCCGCGGAAAAGTACTATTTTGAAGAAAAATTTCCCAATTTTCACACCCTACTCCCAAAAAACACAGCTCAGCACTCAATTCTTTTCATATTTCCCTCCATTTTTATGAATACGCCGTTTCTCCTGTTATTGTTTCCTCCCATTTACGGGTTTCCTTCATTTATTGGTACTCATTCTTTCTTTTCTCACCATTGCTTGGACATTTGTGAATTTTACAAACTTTTCTTTTTCTCTGCGTCTAGTAATAACATATCAATGAGAATAATAAAGTCGTTTGACTATGGATTAAAAGAAAAATAGAAAAAATGGCAAATTGTTGGTTTGCAGCAATAAAGTTTCAGCGTCGATCCATTTTTCTCCATACTTTTCCTCAAGCTTACTTCCCACGTGGTGATCAAGAACGGTTTTCTGGTCGCAATAAAAAGTTTTCATTCCAATTCTCCTTTTGGTGAAAATCTGGTTCAAAAGCTTTCTCTTATTTGTGGGTGTGGGTGCATCTGAAATTTGCATTTATTACTGGCAGGAGGCAGAAGTACGTTTTCTGCTTGGTTTTGTGAACATTTCAAGAATGGAGAACGTTCGATTTGAATAAAAACTTTATTCATTTGAAAGAAAAACAATTTGCATATCGACAGATAGAGTTCAGAAATTGGACCAGTAAAATAAAAACTCTGGAAGTTGGACAGTCAGGAAGACTAGGGCTAGAAGCCAGTGGATGCCATAAGCATTTTCTTTCTTTGTCTTTCTTCTTTAGTAACTTCTATTTCTTCGTCTACCGATTCTAGCCACCTGTTGGTTAGTGAATTGACCATAGGAAGCCGAATTCGGCACTTTCTCAAATTCAAGCCATTCTGTTTTTGGATTCCCTTGATAATCAATCAAGCGAATGTGGGGTATATCTCCATCACTCTTGATCAAAACATAGACCGCATTGAGCATTGTCTCTTGAAAGTATGCTCTTAATACTTGAACGTCAATATGATGAAGTTTCTTCTTGAAATCAAATCCAAGAATACTTTCCCCATCTTCATAATTATTTGGATGATCCAAAAGAATCAAAAATGGAATATCTAAGAGATTTTGACAGCAAAGAAATAGAAATGGATGCTTCATGCGAAGAAAAGTAAGACCTCTATTAGCTCCTATACAGTCCAGGTAACTGTCCAGAAACAAACCCTCATTTTCCGTGATTTCACCACATACTGGAATGTGCAATTCTTTAGGTAGATCTGACCATTCTTCCGTTTTTCTAAATCCATCCATTTGACATTTCCCTGAACAATTCTTTTGACAAATTCGACGAGGAGGATTTCTTAATTGGAATATATAGTGGGGGAAGGGGTGGGAAAAGGATGGGGCCCAGCTAGATTCCTCGTCAGGCTCAGAGGTTAATTCAGTGTGCGAAGATCTTTTAGATTCAGAAGATGCATCAAGAATTGATTCAATATTAAATGGAACATTATTCTTCTCCGAATCTTCTATTGGAATCAGATAATTCAAGTATAACTTTATGATCGTTTCCATTATTTCTTGTTGTTTTTCCAATCCATCAATTATTCTTTCAAGTGGGATTTGTTTGTAATGGGAAAAATGAAATATTTCAAGTTTTTTGTCTTCATTTTCAATTTTATAGCTCCGAATAGCATTTCTTGGATTATCTACCCATTGTCCTGGTATTTGTTTCCATGCTTTTAAGTCTTCAGTCATAAACTCATTCCATTCTATCTGAATCCACCTCTCACCAGTCAATTGAGAAATAAAACATCGAAAATAGAAAGTTGTTGTGTATTTCTCTCTTTTTATTTTTTTCAAATTGTTAATCCGAAACTCACACGACCCCCAATTTGAAAAACTTGATATCCAAATCTCCTCGTGACTTTTAAGCTCTAAGAAAGCAAAGATTTCTTCCCAGAACTGTCTCCGAAAATCTCCCAAAACAAACAATTCAAAGATTTCATAAATATCCTTTTCACGTAGATTTCCCTCCTTTTCTTCTTCCTCCAATATTTCGTAAATCACATAACGAGCATCTTTGAATGTCTGAGTTTCTTCTTTTAATCTTGAAACAATATTTGGTGCTTCTTTGTAGAATTTCTCTCTTTCAGCATAATTTAGTGTTCCGAGTTTATCTTCGATTATTCTGGAGATTTTTTCGATGCCCCATCTTCTATCTTCCTCGAATCTCTTTTCATATTTCCTTTCCTCAGATTCAACCATAACCCCTTCTGTTCTATCATCAAATCCAATTGGTTTCTTCAGTCCTTTTTGGTTTTTATCTTCTGTGGGCATAAAAGAGAGTGAAGAGATGAATTGATTTGCCTAGGTTATTATATTTGCGAAGGATAAAATCTCAACAAAAAGGAAACTCACTAAACTATTCGGTTGGAAAGTCTGAAACCTCCTAAATTTCCCTTCACTCCTATTTTCTTATTTTAAGTATGCAACTTCCCAAATTGCCATTTACTGCTAGTACTCATTTAAAATAACCTCTGAAATAACTAGAATTTACATGATTTATATAGAATTCTTAGGACTACCATATCTTCGGACAAACATCTCCAAAAAAAGCGTTTTCTGAGTGAAACTGCCTAAACGCCCACTCTCTGGCATACCGCCGGCTATGTTTCGTTCAATTACCCAAGTATGAAATGTATTTCGACAAATTAACTCGCTTTTCTGCAGTATTTTACTTGTTGTCTGAACCACGAAATTTCCTTTACTCCTATTTACCTATTTTACTATTAAAATAGATAGAATAGAAACCAAAAATAGCTATGCCAGAGAGTGGGCATTTTGACAGTTTTCACTCAGAGAATGCTTATTTTGGAGATGTTTGTCCGCAGCTCGGCGTGAAAATCATCACCAAGAAGTGCTTTTCTAATTGTTTTAACATGAATTTTGCTGAAATTTTAAGGCTGGCTATTTTAAAGTTTCCCCTATTTTGAAATAAAGAAGAAGTTCAGTGATGGAACACGGATTTACATGCCAGGTCAACATAAGTCAACTTCAATTCGTTCTCTCGGTCGTTCTCTCGTATTTCAACACAAAAGATTCTTAAACTTTTGCGAGATTTCATACTTTCCAACTCAATATAATAGTCAACGAGAAAATCAACTTCTTTTAAAAAAGCTTACCTTCTGTGTTTGTTTCAAGAAATCCAAGACTTCAGAAGCTGGTGGACGATGGATACGTTGAAAGTTAGTACATCTGATAGGTGGATTCTTAAAATATAAAAGAAAAGCTTGAATCCAAACCTCAAGATGATTCTTTGAATTTCTGATTGACATTCAGGTGATTCGATTTCAGTCACACGTTTGAGTGCTATATCAATCAATAATTGGTCACGATCAAAGACTCCATACATCACATAGTTTGAAAAAATGGTTCTAAAACAATGAAAATGTGGTTTCGAAATCTTATTAATATCTCGAAGGAGGTCACCATTTAAACATGAATACCTCCTTTCAATGATTTCCCACATAACAAGTCCCAGACTGTAGACATCATTTCGATGGGAATTCTGGAATGAAAATATATTATCATTGGATAGAAAAAATATAAAACTAACCGATACATCAGCCTCCTTTATTTGTTCATAAACATCCCGTTGTGCCCCATCTTCCTTCATATCAGGTGGACTCATATATTGTAGCGTTCCAATAAACGTCCCCGTAACAGTTCCATCTCCCACTACTTTTACCAATCTGAAGTCGCCAATCTTCAGCTGGTGTTCATTGGTCACAAAAATGCTATAAATGGATTGAACTTCGACATTTATAACACTGAATATTACTTGTCTGGCTTGATATCTCGATGTACCAATTTGTGTTTCTGATACAGGTGATCAATGGCATCAAATAATTGGATTCCCCAGGTGAGAACAGTGTTCATTGAATATGTGATTGTTGGATCAAGGATCACTAAACTCTAAGATATAACAATTTCGGTCCAATTCCGACCTCCCTTGAGTCGTCCCTTCTGACAATATTCCATCACAATTCCGACTTTTATTCCTTCTTCTGTATATCGATACAATCGGACAATATTTTCATGATAGATCTTCTTCAAAGCTTCACATTCATTCTTGAAGGTCTCCAATTGTGCATCATTTCCACAAAGCATATATTTAATGACAGCTGGGCTAAACAAGGAAGCTTATAGTACAATACAACCTCTACAAAAGTTTTAATATTGAGCACAGCAGTGAATAGATTAAAAATAACCAACGGTTTGTGTCCAATCAATTCATACACTTGCCCCATTGTTCCCCTCCCAATAAAACGTTCAACAAATGTTGTTGTCGCTTCTCTGGATGTTGTCATTTTTCACAGATCAAGTTTTAACCTAAAGAATTAATAATATAAACTATAAAAGAGGAGATGAAATGAAAATTCTAAAAGCAGCTGGGAGGTGAGGGCAAAAACTTTTGCAAGAAAGGGATGCCTTATCTCTTTCTTCTCTCCACTCTATGCCCATATTGATTGTTTCTGGGTTTTGAGAAAAGGAGAGGGATAACAATAAACTGAATCTTATTCAATACTTTTTCTTAAATTTGACCCAATCCAAAAACGGCTTGGAGAGCCACAAAGAACTTAGAACAAAGAACGTTTTTATAATCGTCACTTCGCTAATTATAATTCCTTATAATTCCAAACTATTTCCAAATTGAACCTTTAGGACAACATTTAGGAGCAAAATTTAAAAATTTAGCTGAATAAATGAAATTCCACTTGTATGAGAAGCCTAGAATTGACCTCGGGCACAGTGACTTTCTTGAAAAGCACAAGAATTGCAATGAAATTTTCCACAGCTGTAATCCGAAAAATTCATGCAAATATTTAGAGTCTCTAGACTCTTAACAACATTTTAACAGGTTGCTCATGAGGTTTATAACTAATCGCGAGAAGTAACACGCGTCCAGGCATTACTTATTAGCCACCCTGTAGATGCTCTTATCTGACTGGTTATATGATCGAAACGTTTCAATTTTATGTTTTCATCAGCAATTTTTCTATCCGGCTCACCGCTGTGCCTAGACTAAACAGCTAATCCTTGAAGATTCAGCTCTGAACTGAGCTCTGCAAAACACTAAAACTAGTTACACTTATCATTTGGCAGAGTTTATTTGTTTTAGGTCCTTGAGTTACGTTTTTAAGTCGGAACCCTTATTAATGAAGTTAAATCGGAGACCGGTTGTAAATAATCAAAATGAACAAGGAGCCAAAATTGAATTTTTCAAGTCATATTGCAAGATTGGTCGAGCCAACAAAAAAATATGATTGGGCGGCGTTTGAAAAGAGTCAAGGTCTTGACCAAGAAGACCTTATCTCTCGTTTTTATTCACTCGCCCTATCAGATTGCCACGTTTCTTTCTGAAACTGTCTTTGTTCAACGATTTACGAAGAAACCCTTCGATTCGGTTTAGTGCTATTTTCGTTGATGAATTTTTATGAGCAAAAAGCGTAAGGGTGAAACATCGCATCTACCCATTCATGCTGCAATATTAATTAATTGTTCATAGGCTTATCTTTTTCAATTTGGTGTATATTTATATTGTTCATATGGCAAAAGAGCTCGAAACAAAAGTTAACCTTAGCAAAAAAGCACTAAAAATGTTTTGGAAGGCGAAGCGGTCATGTATTAGAGGTTTTGTCCTTTCGGCGGCGAAAATTAGACCGTAATCTAACAATCTACGAGTCGAAGCATAAACTTCAAGGGTGCTGTATTGTGAACGTTAAAAGCTAGAACATATATAGCACCTGTCATCGATGCCATTAATATTGTTTTATTATTTGGAATGCCTTGGATTGATGTGTAAAATTAGCACGAGAGACGAGATGAATGCACAATCTTATAATCAAATTCCCCGAGATGGTTTATTGAAAAAATGCCTTTCAATTTTATTAGCTTAAAATATCTCTTTTGGATCGATCTTAAACATTTTAAACATTCTAACAAAAAATACTTATACAAAAATACATAGAAAAAAATGCCTTTTGGTCCCATGGAAACTCCATTTCTATTTCTTTGCAGTCAAAATCTCTTAGATATTCCATTTTTGATTCTCTTGGATCATCCAAATAATTAGGAAAATGGGGAAAGTATTCCTGGTTTGGATTTGAAGATGAAACTTCATATTGATGTTGGAGTTACAGAGGATGCAATAGGCATTTTTTTTGCCCCTTTTTAGTGACTTCTTAATCTTCGATTACTGATTCTAGCAGCCTGTTGGTTAATGAATTGGCTATAGAAAGCCGAATTCGGCACTTTCTTAAATTCTTAAATTTATGTCCAAAAATCTAATAATCATATCATAAAGTTTATTTCAATCGAAGTATATTTCTTAAATTCTAACACAACACAAGAAAATTATTTTAATGACCATCGAAAAACTTTTTAACACTTTGTTAACTTTGCAAGATCATTTTTGCACAAATTTTTATAGAAACCTAAGAATAATAGGCTTTTTTTAAAATATAGTTTTTTTTGAGTAAAAATGACCTTGGTCAAAAACTTCTAGCTATAAAGATCAAAATTTCCAAATCTAAACGTGTTTTTGTGATTTGACAATCTAAAAAACTTGCTATTTAAAAGAAAAGAATGTTTCCTTCAAGAAGCAAACATTGAATACCCGTTTTTTACACATTTCACATAAACATTTATTAGCAAATCTCACCCAAAATAAATACAAAAATGAAAGTAAAAAATTCGATTGATAACTGTCATAATCACAAAGCAAGAAGGGATTTTCTTTGGCAGTTAGGACAAAGACAAAACTATTCTACAAATCACTAGTCAACTTTCGAAGGACTGACTTCTTGAAAAACTAAACTTGAAAGCCTTGTTGGAAAATGTCGTTGGTTTGCTCGTGGAGATGCTGATAGATTGTCCAATCGGAGAAATCCTTGTAGAGATCGTCAATGCTTTCGTTGGGGATTTCTGTTCGGTCGACGATCCTCCCTCGATGATAATTAAATCCTTGAAAGCGAGTGCTCTAATCGTTTGCCTTTTTCGATTTCGGGCCTCTTGAGATCAAAACTTTGTGTTTCTCCAGACGTCAATACTCTCAATTTCTCTTCGTAGTTCGTTCTCGCATTACCGAGATAAGTTTGAATGTCAGCCACTTCTAGATGGTATAAGGCGTGGGCCTCTCCGACTTTGTAAATTTTAGGCGGGTGCCCGTTTGTCGAAGCGTTTACTGTAGACTTGTGTTTCGGTTGGCTCTTTTCGGTTCGGTTTCGGTTTCGGTTCAACCGAAGCCAACCGAAATCTTCGGCTCGGTTCGGTTCAACCGAAAACTGAGTTTGTCGGTTCGGTTCGGTTTCGGTTGACTCAAATTTTTAGCGATTGTACTTTGATAAGCTAATTGATTTCTTAACAAATTTATCAACAAAAATGCAACAATATAAACATAACAAACGTATATAACAGTATATCTATCCAGAATTATCTTCCGAATCAATTGCAAACCATTCATTTTCGCCTTCGTCCTCGGCACACTCATTTTGTGATAGATCTGCATAGCGGGAATAAGCAGTTCTCCAACCGTAACGTGCTTCTTTACTTGATGGCCATGTGTTTCGCCTAAATCCAATAGCATTTAGTCATATTTGGAAAAAAATGCGATACCTCACATGATCCTGGTTACATGAAATATTGAGAAGTTTAATAGCCGTGTCTTCAGAAATCCGTTGACGACGAGGATTATTTAGATAAACACCGGCAATACTAAAATAAAATAAATTAAATTAAACAAGTAAAATTTACGAAAACACTCTTTCAGAGCTGACACTTGTAGCAGGCGCCGTCAGGAGTTCTTGTGCTATCCGATATAAGAGTTCAAAATCCATTTGATGATTTCTCTACCATTCGTAAATGTTCGCGTTTGGGGGTGGTCGGGTTGTGTCGATTGATTCAAGAAAACAAGTCAATTCTTGCTTAAACAATTCTATAAATACATAAAACTTTGAAAACAACCTGTAATTGGTTTTTTTTTTTTCGTTTTGCAGTTGGTTCTCTTTCTTCTCTCCACTCTATTCCCAGATTGATTGATTCTGGATTTTGGGAGAGGGAATTGATGGCAATCGAATCGAAGAGGGGAAGCAGACCCTCAGCTGAGTGAGTTGTGCAGCAAGTGGGCAATTGAACCGGTTAGGAAATGGAACTAGTAAGAGTGAGATTTTTTCTTTCACTGATAAAGCCTCCTCGTTGACGAATTGTACTAGCCCAGGTCCGGGGTTAGCGCAGTCCTAGATCTAGCTTTGCTTTAAAGGGTTTAAAAAGATATGATTTAAAAGATACTGATCCGATTTCCGGCTGTTCTATATCTGAATCTAGTCTAGAGCTTGGTTGAAAATCCGTGCAATAATTTGTCAATACTATTACATAGAACTCTACCACGATGTGAGAAAAGCGTATGAAAAGTAACTTGACTTTATCTTTATGCTACTATTAGGAGAATAGAGTCAGTGTCCCCCCGTGCAAGGCGTGATCTAACAAGGAAAGGGGATCGAGTTAAGCTGTGCTTTTTGACACGAGACCAAATCCATCTTATAGAGTCGGCCATGGGGATCTCGAATCCGTTTCTAGCTTTTGCATAACGCTTTGTAAACGCGAGATATCTAAATCGCATTCCTTAAGAAGACGCCACATGCTGTCTTAACGACTGCTTCGGTGGTCTAGTGCATAGTCTACTAGACTACCGAAACTATTACGTTTTTGTCCCCAAGTTTATTGCTTTATTGCTTTATTGCTTTTTAAAAAACTGTTTCCATACGTATTCTCGATGAATAATATAGATAAATTTTATGCACCTGTAGTTTTCAGAAATGTATCACCGAATAAATCTTTCAAAATTATCTGCTGAATCTGATACTTTTGAAAGTTCCAGCTTTTGTAAATCAATTGTTGAAGTTATCTGTTGTTGCAGTTATAAGTTATAGCGGTGTATAAAACTCAAGTCAATAATTTAATGCAAACACGTAGGCGTGCTCGTCCTGTCTCCTCCATTCATCCCTCAACTCCCGTCTTCAATTTGCTAATTGTTAGGACATATTCGTTTTGATCTTCAAAAACTGCCCAACTCTGATGGCACCTTTTCACTGTGGACTTTGTGATAAAATCTTGTAAACACATCATTTCTCGCGTGCTCAGGTCGTTGTTGCAAGAAAAAACGAAAAAAATCTGTACGCCAGAAAGGTTGTGTTTACAAGATTCGATCACAAAGTATATCATCGAGCTAAAGCGTGACCAAAGCTACCGTAACCGCAAAGGAAAAGGACCGTTTTGAAGAAACGTTTCCCAATTACACATCCAACTCCCAAAACCACAACTCAGCACTCAAATTTTTTCCATATTTCCCCCATTTTTCTGAATACACCGATTCTCCTGTTATTGTTTCCTTCCATTTACGGGTTTCCTTCATTTGTTGGTACTCATTCTTTTCTTTTCTCATCGTTGCTTGTACATTTGTGAATTTTACGGACTTTTCTTTTTTTCTGAGTTTAGTAATAACATATCAATGAGAATAATAAAGCTACTTGACTATGGATGTAAATGAATATCTACAAAACGAAAAAGGAACAGAAATCCGTTTAAAAGTCAGAGAAAATGATGGAAAAACTAAAACTAAATATGGACTAAGTATGAACACATTCACCATGTTTAATCTTTTAGAATAATTTCGAAAATGTTTATCACGATTTTAAAAGTTTCATTCCCATTCTCCTTTTGGTGAAAATCCGTTTTAAAAGCTTGCTCTTATTTGTGTGTGTTCATCTGGAAATTGCATTTATTACTGACGGTGGGAAGAAAGGACGTTTTATGGACGGTTTTGTGAAGATTTCAAGAATGTAAAACGTTCGATGTCGATAATTATTTTATTCAGTTGTAGAAGATAAAAGAAAACAACTGGCATAAAGACAGAAAGAGTTCAAAAATTAGACTAGTAAAATAAATCTGGAAATTGTGGAATCAGGAAGACTAGGGTTAGGATACAGAGCAACCAAGATTTTCTTCTTTCTTTTTTTAATAACTTCCTTAGCTTCAACTACTGATTCAGGCCCCCGTTGGTTGATGAATTAGCTATAATTCATTCGGCCACGGCCCCAAACTTAAGCCATTCTGTTCTTGGATTGCCTTGATAATCAATCAAACGAATGTGGGGTGTCGTCCATTCCATCTTGATCAAAGCATAGACCCTCTCCTTGAGCTTTGACCCTTGAAAGTATTTTCTTAATACTCCAAAACCAATATGATGTAATTCCTTCTTGAGATCAAATGCAGGAATACTTTCCCCATTTTCATAATTATTTGGATGATCCAAGAGAATCAAAAATGGAATATCTAAGAGATTTTGGCAGCAAAGAAATAGAAATGGGAATGGCCCGAAATCAAAAGTCAGATCTCTATGAGAGCTGATACAATCCATGTAATTTTCCAGAACCCAAACCCCATCTTCCGTGACTTTACCACATACTGGCATGTATAATCCTTTAGGTAACTTTGACCATCTTTTCATGGTTCTAAACCCATCCATTTGACATTTCCCTGAATGATTTTGACAAATTAAACGAGGAGGATTTCTAAGTTGGAATATGTAGTGGGGGAAGGGATGGGGTCCATCAAATCCTTTATATGTAGAAGATTCATCCAGAAGTGATTGAATATTAAATGGAACATTATTTTTCTCCGAATCTTCTATTGGAGTCAGAAATTTCAAGTTTAATTTTATGGTATTTTCCACTCTTTTTTGTTGTTTTTTAAATGCCTCAATTATTCGTTCAAGAGGGATGTGTTTGTAATGGGAGAAATGAAGCAATTCATGTCTTTTGTCTCCATCTTTAATTTCATAGCTCCAGATCTCAGTTCTTGGATTGTCTACCCATTTTCCTGGTATTTCTTTCCATAATCTTAAGTCTTCACTTACAAACTGAGCCCTTTTTATATGAATCCATCCCTCACCAGTCAATTGAGAAATAAAACAGCGAAAATAGAAATTGGTTGTGTATGTCTCTCTTTTTATTTTTGTGAAATCGTCAATCAGCTCCGCACAACATTCCCAAATGTAAAAACTTTGTGTCCAAATCTCCTCGTGACTTTTAAGAAGTACAAAAGCATCGTTTTCTACCAGGCCCTGTTTTTTAAAATCTCCCAAAACAAACAATTCAAATATTTCATAAATATCCTTTTCATGTAGATTTTCCTCCCATCCTTCTACCCTCAATATTTCCTGAATCACATAACGAGCATCTTTGAATGTCTGAGTTTCTTTTGTCTGAGTTTCTTTTAATCTTGAAACAATATTTGGTGCTTCTTTGTAGAATCTCTCTCTTTCAGCATAATTTAGTGTTCGGAGTTTAGCTCGCATTATACTTTTGACCGATCTGTTGAATCCAAACCCCATGTGATCCCATCTACCTGCCTCGAATCTCTTTTCATATTTCCTTTCCTCAGATTCAACCATAACCCCTTCTGTTCTGTCATCAAATCCAATTGGTTTCTTCAATTCTTTTTGGTTTTTATCTTCTGTGGGCATGAAAGGGAGTGAAGAGATGAATTCATTTGCCTAGGTTATTATATTTGAGAAGTATAAAATTTCTACGTTTTTTTAAAGAAAGGCGTTTGGGAAGTATGTACGCAAATTTCTTTTCGCTCCTATTTACTTATTTTACCATTTACTTTTTTTACTTTTTTGCAGTATTTTACTCGTTGTTTAAGCTACGAAATTTCCTTTACTCCTATTTACCTATTTTACCATTAAAATAGATAGAATAGAAACCAAAGATAGCTATGCCAGAGAGTGGGCGTTCAGGCAGTTTTCACTCAGGACCCTTATTCTGGAGATGTTTGTCCGCAGGTCGGCGTGAAAATCATCACCAAAAGGTGCTTCTCTAATTGTTTTAAACATGAATTTAGCTGAAATTTTAAGGCAAGCTATTTTAAAGTTTCCCCTGTATATTTTGGAAGAAAGAAGAACTTTCGCGATGGAACACGGATTTACATGCCATGTGAACATAAGTCAACTTCAATCCGACCGTTCTCAGTTATTTTGCCACAAAAGATTTACAAACTTTCGTACTTGTTAATCCTAAGAATCCTGCATAAAACAAAATTCTATTCATCATAATGGTAAAATAAGTCAAAAGAAATTTACCGGGTTACATACTTTCCAACTCAATATAATAGTAGACGAGAAATTCTACTTCTTTTAGAAAGGCTTACTTTCTGTGTTTGTTTGAGGAAATCCAAGACTTCAGCAGCTTTTGGACGATGAATACGTTGAAAATTAGTACATCTGATAGATGAATCCATAAAATATAAAAGAAAATCTTGAATCCAAACCCCAAGATGATTTCTTGAACTTCTGATTGACATTCAGGTGATTCGATTTCAGTAACACGTTTGAGTGCTATATCAAACAATAATTGGTCACGATCAAAAAACATTCCAGATACCTCATAGTTTGTGAAAATTGTTCTAAAACAATGAAAATCTTGTTTGGAAATCTTATTAAGATCACAAAGGAGCTCACTATTCAAACATGAAAAACCTCCTTTCGATGATTTCCCACATAACAAGTCCCAGACTGTAGACATCATTTCGATGGGAATTCTGAAATGAATATATCTTATCATTGGATGGAAATGAATGTAAAACTAACCGATACGTCAGCCTTCTCTATTTGTTCATAAACATCCCGTTGTGCCCCATCCTCTTTCATTTCAGGTGGACTCATATATCGTTGTGTTCCAATTCCAAACGTCCCCGTAACAGTTCCATCCCCCACTACTTTTACCAATCCAAAGTCGCCAATCTTCAGCTGGTATTCATTGGTCACAAAAATGCTATAAATGAATTGAACTTCGACATTTATACCACTGAATATTACTTGTCTGGTTTGATATCTCGATGTACCAATTGGTGTTTCTGATACATGTGATCAATGGCATCAAATAATTGGATTCCCCAGGTGAGAACAGTGTTCATTGAATATGTAATTGTTGGATCAAGAATCACTAAACTATAAGATATCACAATATGAATCTACTCCCCACCTCCCTTGAGTGGTCCCTTCTGACAATACTCCATTACAATTCCCACTTTTATTCCTTCTTCTGTATATCGATACAATCGGACAACATTTATATGATAGATCTTCTTCAAAGCTTCACATTCATTTTTGAAGATCTCCAATTGTGCATCATTTCCACAAAACATATATTTGATCACAGCAGGGCTAAACAAAGAAGCTCATGGTACAATACAACCTCTACAAAAGACTAATTATTGAACATAGCAGTGAATAGATCAAAAATAACCAACGGTTTGTGTCCAATCAGTTCATACACTTGCCCCATTGCTCCATCCCCAATATAACGTTCAACAAATGGATTGGATGTTGTCATTTCTCACAGATATGGCTTTGACCTAAAGAACTAATAATATAAAATATACCAGAAGAGATGAAATGAAAATTCAAAAAGCAGCTGGAAGATGAGGACAAAAACTTTTGCAAGAAAGGGATGCTTTATTTTTTTCTCTTCACTCTATTCCCAGATTCATTGATTGTGGGTTTAGGGAAAAGGAGGGGGATAGGATAATAATAAACGGAATCTTTTTAGTTCATTAAATTCATTTTTTGTTTTGTGTTTCTTAAACTCGACTTAATCCAAAAAAGGGCTTTGAGAACCAGAAAGAAGATTGCAGTTTTTTTATAATCGTCACTTGGAGCCAATTCCAAATTATTTCAGAAAGAAAACCTTGAGGACAACATTTAGGAGCAAAAAATGGAAATTTAGCCAAATAAATAAACCCTCGATTGGTATGAGAAGCTTAGAATCGACCTCTAGCAAGATGCCTTTTGGAAAAGCACAAGAATTGCAAGAAAATTTGCCAGTTATTGTCTGTAACATTCATGCCTATATTTAGAGTCCCTAGACTGATAGCAACATTTCAGCAGGTTGCTCATAAGATTTCGAAGTAACCTCGAGAAGTAACAAGCGTTCCGGCATTTCTCATCAGCCACCCTGTAGGGGCCCTTATCTGGCTGATCATATGACCTGAGTCCTTATATTTTATCTTCTCATAAGAAGTTTTACGATCCAGCTAACCGTTGTGCCTAGACTAAACAGCTAATCCTTGAAGGTTCAGCTCTGAACTGAGCTCTGCAAATCACGAAATCTAGTTACACGTATCATTTGGCAAAGTTTATTTGTTCTTAAGTTAAGTTTTTAAGTCGAAGCCCTTATTAATGAAGACAAATCGAAGAGCCGTAGTTAAATAATCAAAATGAACAAGGAAGCAAAATTGAATTTTTCAAATTATGCTGCAAGATAGGATTCGTGCAAGTCGAGTGAACAAAAAATATTATCGGGCTGCGTTTGAAAAGAGTCAGAGTCTTGAAAAAGGAAGGCCTTATCTCTCGCTTTTATTCACTCGCCATATCAAATTGTCACGTTTGATCTTGAATCTGTCTTTCTGAAACTCTCTTTGTTCAACGATTAAGGAAGGAGACCCCTTCGATTTGGTTTAGTGTTATCCTTGGGATGTTTTCGTTCTGTAGATATTTATTTACATCCATAGTCAAATAAATTCATTATTCTCATTGATATGTTATTACTAAACGCGGAGAAAAACGGATATTTGTAAAATTCACAAATGTACAAGCAACGATGAAAAAAGAAAAAATGAGTACCAATAAATAAAGGAAACCCGTAAATGGAAGGAAACAATGACAGGAGAACCGGTGTATTCATAAAAATGGGGAAATATGAAAAGAATTGAGTGCTGAACTGTGTTTTTGGGATGTGTGGTTGGGAAACATTTCTTCAAAATGGTACGTTTCCTTTGCTGTGGCTTTGGTTTGCTCTATAGTTACGTTTTGAGCTCTGTAATATACTTCGTGATCAAGCTTGTAAATCCCACCTTTCTCGCGTACAAATTTTTTAATACTCGGTAAAGATTTTTTAGAACCTTTTTTTACTTTGGAAGTGAAACATTTTGCGCTTTAAAGGGTATTCCGGTCCTAAGCGAAATCCGATTTTTGCTTCGAACCATTATAAGCCATTCTCGGCGAGCCTGGACCCGCTACCGGTTTGGCCGAGTGGTTAGTGTTCATACCGTCGAGGCCACGCCTCGACGGTTCAAATCGAATCCGAGTCCGTTTTCACGTGGCTTTTGTTTTTTTGGTTTTTCATTAGATTTTTCAAGGAGCGATTTCCCGGAGGCCAAGGTCCTTGCGGATATGTAGAATTATTACCCTTTCATTAAGGAAAGCCACATGAAAAGCTAAGGAAAAAGCCAAGGTTCTGATTAATACCTTCCCATCGTTCTACCTTTTAGGAATCATGGAAAATTGCGAAAATTTTTGATTCGAATCGACTGATAGTATAATTTTCTTAATACTTTTCAAACAACTTATCGAACATTGAAATCAAAAAACTATTTTCTTAAATAGCTTTCAAGCCAAACAAAAAAACCGTTAACTAGAAACTTTTTTCTTCGGAACTCATGATTCCGTATGCTAGAGAGTGTTAAAAGAAAAAAAAGATATAAAGAAGGGTTAGAAAAGGCGAAAAACTTCATAAAAGGTGAAAAGAAAGAAAAAAACTCCTTAAATACTAAAAAAAAGGTTCATTAACTTTCAGTTGCTTAGCTGAATATTTTTAACGCCCCTTACTGCTTCCTATAGGGTGAGAAATTGTTACCCTGGTCTAGACGAAAACTACGATAGAATTAATTCTCGTATATAAAGGTTCCGCCACATTGCCTTTCAGACTCCCAGACGCATTCTTTGACAGTTTTTCATAGTTGTTCCGGGATGTTTGGTGTTTCCAAGCTTTTTCTTTATGCAATCCTTATAGAGGAGACTGAAACACGTCGATTGGTATACAAATAGTCGTGGTTCTAGGAAATCACTTTTGGTATCGGAATAACCCTTTAAAAGGAAATAAACTTTAAAAAGAAACTTTTGTCAATGATGCTTCAAAGGTTTCATGGTGGTTGTCCATATGATGTTGGTGACCTCAGAAATTTCAGAAGGCTCAGGAAGGCTCAGAAATTTCACGAATAGGGAGTCATCTAATCAAAAATTCTCACAAAAAGTCAAAAAATTGAGACACAGAAAAAACAGTTTTGACACCAGGAATGCCACCTCTAGCCACTTCAACTTTTTCAAAAAATCCCCAGGTAAAGGCCTCTTTTTTTGGGACACCCTGTATGATCCAGCCTTGCACAAGATGGTGGCTGGTTTCTAGAAAGTAAACGCAGTTTACAAAATGATTAGTTCAATTCGATTCAGATACGGGATTCAATTGATCCAGAAAGTTCTGTGCAAGTTGCAAAACGTAGCAAAATTGTAAAACGTAAGGTCGGAAATCGTATCGTATTTTTACCAAGTCATCAGCCTCCATAATGAGCGGTTGCGGAAAGCTATTCTAAATTGGAAAAGAAAAGAAAAGTAGAGATTCTTTAGATGTAGGCAAGTGATCCAAAAAACGCACATTTTCCAGCGCTTTCCTCACATCCCCCAATCGGGACTTCCTTGCTTCGAGCGAGTAGGTGGCACCCACTGGACTGACCAACACCACAATGAATATCAGAGAGTTGAAGCGAGTATTTTCTTCCAAATCCCAGAACACCGAGAGCATAAACTTCTTCTCATGCACATTTGGCTTGACGTCGGGTTCGGGCTTTTTCCCCTCAGTAACCCATTGGCGCCTTCTTTGAAAGTTGACGGTTAGAATCCATTTTCATCCTTCGTCACAATACGGGGTAAAAAAAGACTTGCACCCGTAGCAAGAAAGATGAGCAGCACTGATTTCTGACACATTGCCATTTTGGGTTTCGTTAAATCATGTGGAATCCAAGTCTCTAATACGGTTTAAACCCAACTGTATGCAATGTTCGAGTATTATCGTATGATCAACTGATAGCTCTTCTGCTATTTCGCGAAAAGAAGGCCTGGATGACCCTCCGTTCGACTTTGAAGATTCAACCCCAGAACGGAATTTAACAAACCAGTTTGCACATGTCCTTCTTTGAATCTTGAAACAATACTTGGTGCTTCTTTGTAGAAATTGTCTCTTTCAACAGGATTTGGTGTTCCGAGTTTATCTCCCTTTATTCTAGAGCCGTTATTCCAAATTCCGATATTCTATCTTCATGATATATTTCCTTTCTTCAGATCCAACCATATCGAATAAATTTATTTGACTATGGATGTAAATGAATATCTACAAATCAAAAAAGAAACAGAAATCCGTTCAAAAGTCAGAGGAAATAGTGGAAAAACTAACACTAAGTAGTGAGTAGGTTTGGACACATTAAACATAGTCATGTTTAATTCTTTAGAATAAGTTTGAAAGTGTTTGTGAAGATTATAAAAGTTCCATTCCAATTCCCCTTTTGGTGAAAATCTGATTTCTCTTATTTGTGTGTGTTGATCTGAAAATTGCATTCCTTACTGAGAGTGGTCCGAAAGTACGTTTTATGCTAGGTTTTGTGAACATTTCAAGAATAAAGAACGTTCTGGTTTAGATAAGCACTTTATTGATCTGGAAAAAAAGGAAAGAAAACAACAAGCATAAAGACACATAAAGTTCAAAAATTTCAGAAGTAAAATACAAAATCGAGAAATTGTGAAGTCGGGAAGACTACGGTTAGGATACAGAGCAATCAGCATTTTTTTTCCTTTGTCTTTCTCCTAGGTAACTTCTTTATCTTCAACGACTGTGGGTTCGTGAATTGGCTATAGGAAGCCGAATACGGCACTCTCTCAAACCGAAGCCATTCTGTTTTTGGATTCCCTTGATAATCAATCAAGCAGGGGTAGGGTGTCCATTCCCCACCCCTGCTCCAAGCATAAATTCTCTCATTGAGCTTTGACTCTTGAAAGTATTTTCTTAATACTCCAACATCGATATGATGAAGTTTGCTCTTGAAATCAAATCCAGGAATACTTTCCCCATTTTCATAATTATTTGGATGATCCAAGAGAATCAAAAATGGAATATCTAAGAGATTTTGACAATAAAGAAATAGAAATGAGTCTTCCATGAGGCGAAAAGTCAGATTTCTAGCAGATCTTACACAATTCACGTAACTTCCCAACTTGTAACTTGAAGATAAAGTACGTTTTATGAACGTTTTTGTAGATATTTCAATGCTCTATTAGAATAAATACTTTATTCATTCGAAGAAAAAGAAAAAATAACAAGTGGCATAAAGACAGATAGAGTTCAAAAATTGGACTAGTAAAATAAAAACTCCTGAAATGGTGAAGTCAGGAAGGCTACGGTTAGGATACAAAGCAAGAAGGATTTCTTCTTTCTCTTTCTCTTTTAGTAACTTCTTTATCTTCAACTATTAAGTCTAGCTTCTGCTCTTGGTCAGTGAATAGAAAGCCGAATTCGGCCACTTTCTTTTGCTCAAGACTCTGTCATTCTGTTTTAGAAGTGTTTAGAAGTCAAAGATTAAAAAGTTTAGCAAGTAGTGGAGATATTTGAAACTTAGTTTTCGTATGTCTTATGTCTTATTTGTCTGCACCAACTCTTGTTCAAAAATAAGTTTCTTTCAACTTTTGGGCAAATATCCAAATTTGTGATTACGAGTTTTTTAGCCAAGAAGTAAATAAACTTTCAGGAAGCTCTCAACCAAGAAGACAATGTTTTGGTTTTTGATTCAAGTTTAACAGAGCCAGCCTTACCAACAAATTTTTCAAGGCCAGCAAACGGGCACCCGGCTAAAATTTACAAAGTTGGAGAGGCCCACGACCTATGCTATCTAGAAGTGGCTGCCATTCAAACTCATCTCGGTAATAGTAGGAATGAGTTCGATGGCAAGCAGTCAAACACAAGCCGAAGATAATTTACGCTATTTCGATCCGAGAATGATGCATCAGCCAAGCAAAGAGTGCGTTTATTAACAGTGGAACTTTTATTTTTTATTTCAGATCGATGAAATTGCGACCTCATCTTCCGGCGGATGTCATTCTTTTCGTGGTCGGGGGCGGAAATTACGTGGAGTATGAAAAACTTGTTGAATGGGGACGCGATAAAGGAGTTCAACGTGTGACTTATGGTTGCACTGAACTTGTTAGCCCATCGCAGTTTATCGAACAGGTATAATTTCGGCTTCAATCATATTCAACTTTGTTTTTTAGCTTTCACGGCTTGGTGGACAACTTTAACAGAATTGCGGCATTCTTCGATGAGATTAGCGGTTTGAATCTTGTTTTTAAAAACTATCTTAATCATTGGTTACTTTATGTGCATTGGCTAAGCTTACGTGTGTTTTCTGATAGTTTTTCGCAAATATCTCAAGTTAATGTGTTTTTTGAAGTACTGTGATATACCTATCCATAATTTCTGTGTTTGTATTGTTTTTTGTCGCGATGAAACTTACAAAAGGATAAATTCTAGCAAAACGTATAAAGATTGGGTAATGCACGAGAAAAAGCACATTTAGATTTCATTTTGAGCGCTTCATTTATGTTCTCCTTCACATTGATTATCCAAATGTGAAGGGGAAATCTGGTTCGGTGAATGTGTACAATGATATGCGAGCGTTCTCAAAGGCAAAGAGGAATACTAGGCTATCCATATCAGGCTTCTTGGAGTGAAGTGATAGGGATCGGAATCTTTCTTTCGCAATCTTTCTCCCTTATTCTTCTGATTCCATAGACATGCAGATTCCATAGACATTTCCATTTCCATAGACAGCATGCAGATTCCAGAGACACAACTATGAAAAGCAACCAAATTTAATTTCATCCACTCATCGCCGAAAAAAAAAACTGTAAAATAAAATGATGCGTGAATTTCCATAGTTGTGTCTATGGAATATGAATCTTATAGCATCTTATAGCGTCTAGCAACTAATTTATTTCCAACCCTTTTTGCCTTTTTCGTATCCTGCATAGAATTAGGCCAGTAAAAAAGGCTAGAGACAAGGTTACGGTAGCTTTTGAAAGTGCCATGGTTTAGAAAACTGATTAGTTGCTCAATAGAGTCCTTAAAGACAACGAAATATTTTCAAATGTAAATCTAATGGAAAATTCCAGATGACCGGTCTCCAGTTGCCCGCATGTGCCCTGGGTGGATTGCCTCTTTGCAATCAGTTAAATGGATTGTATTCGGGAAATTGCCCTCACACAAGCTCATACCTGAATGTTCGTTCAGATCATTCATCGTGTTAAAATTGAAATTCAGGACATAAACTCACTTCAGCGCTACGGAGGCCAACATATCTATACTATCAACAGTAAAATGGATCAAATTGTCGGATTTTTGGTGTGCGGAGGGGTGAGTACGGAGCGTAATAAAACCTATTTGTAAACTAATATTTATTTGAAACTATATTTGAAATTTCAAACTTTCAGATCAATTCCCAAATCGGAGGACAAGAGGGTGAGCGAATGTTTGACGGGTTGAATCACGAGCAAACTTTCCATCAAACACATCATGTTCAATTGGCGATGATCCGTGAGCACAAAGTCATCAAAGAGTGAGATGTTTCTGCTAAGCAAAATGAAGAGCTATCCGCTAAACGTTGTCATTTCCAATCTTGTTCTTGAAAAATCTTGAAAAACAAAGTTGAAATTGAAGTTCTATCAAAGATCAACTATTCGCTGCATCAGTATCCATTAGACATGACTAACGAGATAACGAGAGTTAACGAGACTTAACGAGACAACCTCATAGATTTTCATAAAGATTTCGAAAATGCCTGAATTTTGCTTTATTGGAAAGCTGGTGTTTCAGGCTTTCATTTGATACCAAATACTCATCAACAACTTAAAATAGTCCCTTGAAAAATCTTACCAAAGTCGGGTATATAACTTGTCTCGTTAACGCACCTCCCTTATCGAGACAAACCATATATCGAGGCTTTGACAAGATTTTCCAGGGGACTGTTTTAAGAAGGACTGACGAAGAAGGATGATTGGAACCAAGCCTTCACGTGAAGGCCAGCTTCACAAAAATTTGCGTGTCCGAGGAAACGCGTGCCAAGATGTTCGCATATCTGAGTGCTACACGTAATTATTGAACCCCCTGTACAAAATGTAGTCTTTCATCCGCAATATTTTTACTGCATGTAACTTTTACCTCATTTTGTCTTTCAAAAACCTTTTGCAATTTTTTTATAGTCTTTTTTTTTTCTTTGACATCATTCAATGAAGCGACTATATCTTTTGCTTTCCCTTTTCTCATTTCCGATCTTCACTTATTCTATATGTATTCAATGCAATAAATTGTGTGACTTGCTTTTGCTTAAACATCAAAAAAATTTTCATAAGCTGCCTATTTGCAATCAGTGAAACAGAAAAACCCCAATCGCAATCAGGTCGGAGAATAGTTGAAAATCAAAAATTTCTTCAACTTCGTGGTTCCTTGGTGCTTTTACGTACGACAACGATCAACAGTCTCCCAGCATAACTTTTTAATCAATTAGCTGAATATTTTATTGCTGTCGAATACAAATATATGAGAGCCAAAATGTTTGAAGGAATTTAGACCTTTTGACCTTTGCGCGATCTTCTTTATTTCAGAACTACACAGATTTCTCGATGATGGTTTTTTTTCAAAATTAAGCTGTAGTTTTTCAATGCCGGAATTCGCCTTTATGGTCAAGCAATGCAAGGCCTTGTTTTCTCAAGCATTAGTTTTCTGTTTCTTAATACTTTTATTGTTTTAATCAAGGGAGATGTGTTGACCCTTTTTGCTATTCTTTTTCAGATAATCAACTTTCTACAAGCGTTGGTTGTGATTGGTGGATTGGTCGTATGGAAGCCCAAGAAATTCGTAGTTCGGTGAGGTGTAAATTTTTTATCACAACTTGTATATCTTAGGAAACTCGCCTCGACGTTGCTGTTCTCCCGGATGTTCCCTTTCTTCGGGTACTAAATTACTTGTCAGGATTACAAATTGAAAAGTAGCTTTTTGTTTTATAAAGTATCAATGATGATGCTTAGATGTCGGGGAATTTCGCGTCTCTTTCAACAACGTATTGATGTGAATCGGAAATCGCTGCCCACCGTACAAGTTTATTCTCTGACGATTGACCAGAAGAAGGTCAACCCTGAACCTCTTACTAATAATCATAACGAGGTAGTTTCAAATGAAAATGCTTTTTTAACTAGTCTTCTAGGTTGAACCAACTATCTTCATCGCGATTGAAAAAGATTGGAGCCGTATGAAGTATGGAGCTGCTCCATTGAGGCAGGCACTCGAAAGATTCAATCACATGTTTCCAGGAATGTCCATTAAAACTCTCCATTTGGTACGGCTTTCAAAATTTTGCGCTCAGAGTGTAGTGGAGTACAAACAAATGTAATGAAAACTTTTAGAAGCTTGAGTATTTCGACGTCGCCACGTTTCATCAATTGCTGAAGAAGTTGGAGGAATGCAAAGTGAAATGCCAAAATCTTTTGGTGGCCACAGAGGGACAAAAGTTCGATTGGAAGGAGCTACGACTTATGCTACTTCAGCTTGAACCAGAGAACTTCGAATTGGCGGTTTACTATCTTGTTTTTATTTCTCAACTAACCGGTTCAGATTCTTGGTGAAACTACCCTGTTGACGTCGTCGTTCTGGCAAGACAAATGCATTCGAGATCGTCGGGGGCTGGCGATTAGTGCGAGAAATTTGTCTTTTGATGACCAGGTTAGTGAAATTAAATATCCCTACTAAGCAACTGAAATTCATCTTTTATTAACAGTGGAGATTGGTAATCAACGATTAAATCAAATTGTTGCTTTGCTTTTAGGTGCTGTTGAATTTTGCCTCTCCGAATTTCATGCTGAGCTATTTGACTGCTTGTACATTTGCCGGAATCGCCTCATTTCTTAACGAATGGGGAGCTGGAATCCGAGAAGTGACAAAGATACGACTGCGGGTTCGATCTGACCTGAACATCAGAGAGGTGAGTGAAAGAGCTAATTTTTGAGATGTTCTTGTTTAGTTCTTTGCCCAGTTGTCTTGGAATGTCAAGTTTGAAACGAAGGTCGACAGCGATTGTTTCGATTTTTTAAACAATTTTATAGTTGTTAGGAATTCTCTCGGAAAGAAGCTCCACCTATGGATCGAACAAGAGGAGGCTATGGAATTTTGGTAAGTTCTTTTGGATTGAGTTGGAAAGCAGTATTCTTGTCGTTCAATGTGATACGAGAACCTTCTCTAAAAAGCGATTAACTAATCTTCTTTCAGTTTTGAGATGCTGGAGGACTACGACAACGACTACCTCGGTTATTCGTGGGCCCCCATAGACGGTTGTGATTACGAGCAGGAGCTCTCTCGATTACGGTTGCGTAAAGCAGTTTCTTCATTGCCCAACACGCGGTTTCGCAAGTTTCGTGATGAAGAAATTTTGGAAACTTGGCCCATTAAAGAGCTGCTGAGCTGAGAAACAATTTTTTAAACTCGATGGAAGCTCGAATTTGAATGTAGCTACTCTAAAATCTTATGAATCTGTACCATTGTTGTGATTGTGTGAGCTTTGATCAGGCATTTCAGTAAATAAAAATTTTGATACTGAATTGGATAATTTTTTAAACGACCTAATACAAAATTTATTCGAATTATCATGAACAGGTCTGCATCAAAAAAATCACAGTTTATTTTGCAGCGATCTTTTTTGGCTATTCATCGCTTTTTTCGGCTTCGCCATTTTGCTTGATGAATACATATCGTTTTGAAGTTGGCTTTCCATCGCGGTCGAAAGCCTTCTTGTATTGGGATTTCTCTTTGCCGTGTGCCAAATATCTGTAAAAAAGAAGTCAAACAATTAATAATAATAATAATAACAAGTTGGGAATGAATGCAGAAATCCACTAAGAGAGGAATAAGCCTTATTGTTGCCTCATTGTTTATTACATTACTTTCTTTATGAAGTTTAACTACTTTAAGTTTAGTTTAACCGTTATTTTATTACTAATTTAGCACAAGTCAAACGGCGTTTTCCCTAACTTTTCCCTTTCTCTAGTTTTTTTTGTCTCTCAACAATCGGATTCCTTTCCTGCACTTTCGAAGAAAGTTTAAATTAAGAAATCAAGTCTCACTTTTTCTCGCGTTTAACCAATTTCTCCTCCAACTGGTAATCCTTTTCCGACGTGCAACCTTTCCTTGCCCGAGAAGCCATGGCATCAGCCTAAAAAGACACATGATCTGGCTCCACATTAAACCCTAACCATCTCGTTTCCCGCGTCGCCATTGTGGCTGTATACATGTTGAAAGCGGACTCCTCTCGGGTAATTTGATACCACCTTCTTGATTGAATCGATTCTGAAAAAAAGACCAAATTTGAAGATTTTAAGTATTCCAAACCCTTTACGAAGATCTTCTATTTTGAGCTTGTTACGTTTCTTTAGTCCCTGGATCGTGTTCATGCTGTCAGTACGGACGATAACATCCATATCGCTAGAAAATGTTAAAAAATACAACAAGCTTAATTTATTCAGACAAGGCTAGATAGCTCTGCGATCCTATTTTAAAGCTTATATTTTAGTAGTTGCCAAATCTACAACTTATTTAGGTTCAGATCAAATGGTCCTTACGTGCTGCCAGGCAGTGCTGCCAACTTTTCGAGCGCAGTTTTTACAGCCACAATCTCGATGTAAGTCGCACAGTCATCTTCGGGAATCCTTTTTTTGTTGGATAGTGTTGTTTTTTCTGAACCTTCGAGACGAACAGCACTAAAAGAGAGTGATCAAGACAACTAATAAGAAACTCACAAGTTGAGTATGTGGTCTTCCCCAAAAAACCCGGCATAAGCTGAAGAGTCGACGGCTTCCCGAGGAACCCCAGCTTGAAAACTTCCGTCCGTATAGCACTAAAGTCAACTATATGTATAAAAGGCAATTGTCTGTGCGTGTGCAACGCCTTTCCGATAACAGGAAACCCAAACTTCAGAGAACTCTAGCTTTACGTAGACCAAAATACATAACATACCACAATCGTATTTTCGGGGAACGTCTCATTGAAAGCAGTGTCATCTCCATCGTTTCCATGTGCTTGATCGAATCCTAAACGAAAACAGTGTAGTATTCATCAGACATGTACAGATTCCGACCGGAACCTAAATTCACTTTCGTTTTCTTGGCCGTTCTTTGACCGATTGATCTGGAATCTTGTCTAAAGGTAGAGCCTGGCATTAACTACTTGTAAACAAAATTTTTGATCAATCGATCAAGAAGCAACCAAGAAAACGAAGGTGGAATTAGGTTCGGGACGGAATTTGCATATGTCTAGTATTCATGAAAAAGAGAATGTGCTAGATCGGATGCGTTTGTCTTACTAAAGAAAGAAAGAGTATCAAACCTACCATATTTCGTTGCTTCATAAGAGAAGTCCTTCGCCTTGAGATCCTATTCAAAAAATTTGCATACTTCAAAAAGAAACTCACAACTTCATCAGCTCCAGCGGACAGTCCTGAAAATAGAAAAAAAGAGAAATTTGGTAAACAAAAAAAACCCACGTCGAGTAGAAGCTGCACGAATACCAAACACCCAATTCCAGAAAGCGCTGAAACAACCAGCCATTGAATACGACAAGCAAAAATAATCTGAATGAATTGATCTTTTGATTCATCTGACTTCTGCATGTAAATCACTTCTGCATGTAAATTCTCGGCTAACGTAAATTTTGAGTAGGCCTTTCAGGTCATGTATTTTTCTTTGCTGTAGAAATTTAGATTCTTATTATTTCTGACTTCTTATTTATATCTTCTGTTGTGACTACTAAAAGACAAGTTTGGATATGCCTGAATGCGCAACCCTCGACAACCTCAAATGGCGCTTTGCGTAAACTTTGAAAGCCGCACCAAGAGTAACTCTACAATAGTATAACAGATACGGGAAACCCTGAAATAAGCCAACTGATTCTTGTAATTTGGAAGACGATAAGTCGAAAACAGGCCAAAAAATCGGTATACAGATGAAGCGACTCCTAAGACCTATCGTGATCATTGTCAAGGAATCCCCCCTTTCAGAGCGAGCTGAAAGACCGGATTGGAGCGTAATGTGTGCCTAACTGTCGATAAACTTGGCCGAGAGATTGAATTAAATATTTACAGAACAGAAGCTAAAGATTCCAAAATTGATTTCACTTACCTCATCAAGCAATCGCTCGAAGAGACGATTTTGCGAAGCTTTCAGAAGATTCTAAAATATAATAGTTCAAAATGAGTTCTGAAATCTTGCAAACCTTCTGAAACGCGAATTTTCCAGGCAATATTTTGTTTACATCATCGCAAAATTCACGAAGGAAGGCCTCCTTGCTACTAAAAAAGAAAAATTAGTGGACATAAAAGAAAACTCAAACGAACCTGTAGAAAGTTTTGATGATCAAAGACACCAAATGCGCTATCTCCTCTTGATAAGTGAAAGTTTTGCCATCACCAGCATTACCAGCAGCAGATGCAGAACTCTGAAAAAGCAAATATACATCCGCAATGCATGTGGAACGTTGAAGCAGAAAAACCCCAATCGCAATCAGGTCGGAGAATAGTTGCAAATCAAAAACTTCTTGAACTTCGTGGTTCCTTGGTGCTTTTACGTACGACAACGATCAACAGTCTCCCAGCATAACTTTTTAATCAATTAGCTGAATATTTTATTGCTGCCGAATACAAATATATGACAGCCAAAATGTTTGAAGGAATTTAGACCTTTTGACCTTTGCGCGATCTTCTTTATTTCAGAACTACACAGATTTCTCGATGATGGTTTTTTCAAAATTAAGCTGTAGTTTTTCAATGCCGGAATTCGCCTTTATGGTCAAGCAATGCAAGGCCTTGTTTTCTCAAGCATTATTTGCCGTGTAGCGAATATCTGTAAAAAAGAAGTCAAACAATTAATAATAATAATAACAAGTTGGGAATGAATGCAGAGATCCACTAAGAGAGGAATAAGCCTTATTGAACTGCCTCATTGTTTATTACATTACTTTGTTTATGAAGTTTAACTACTTTTCCCTTTTAGGTTGGTTGGCTCCAAACGTGAACAATTGCCTGACATGCCAGCCGTTTACTTTGTCGCCCCAAATGATGAAAACGTGGAACTTCTCTGCAATGACCTGAAGCTGGTGATTTTATCCCATGAATACTTTTTCAAGAAGATTTTAGGGATTGTATGAAAACTTTTATCGCTTTTATCGTATTGAAAAGATACTCTGAAGCAAGTCCCATGTCCTATTATGGTTTGTTTTTCGTTTCATTTTTATATGAATTAATTTAGCAATCAATGATCCTTCAACATCCGACGCTCAAATGAAATCTATGATTGAATCCATCGCGGATGGTCTCTTTTCGGTAAAAATTCTTCAACAACAATCAAGGACTTTTATCAGATGTGTGCTACTCTTGGTTTGGTGCCAGTGATTCGTGCTTCCAAAGACAATGCTGCGGAACAAATTGCAATTGTAATCCTTTTTGAATTATTTTTTGCTATTACTTTTGTTTTAGAGGCTTGATCAAAAACTCCGAGACAACTTACGGGATGCACGCAATAATCTCTTCGCCTTTGAAAGTGTTCGAGCTGGGCAACTTAGTAGCTCTCGTCCTGTACTTATCATTGCGGATAGGTTTGTATTGAATTCTCAAATGCTTTAAAAAGAGGTTTTTCAAGAATGCTTTATGTTCAGATCTGCAGATTTGGCAACAATGCTTCATCACACTTGGACAGATCAAGCTTTGGTTCATGATGTACTTGGGCTTGATCAGAATCGAGTCAGCATGCCGGACAAGGGCAAGAAGGTGGACTACGATTTGCATTGTGGACACGATCGTCTTTGGACGCAGCATAAGGTAATGCATAATTCTATTTAAACATAAACTGATTTACTGTTAAGGGAAATGCGTTTCCCCTGGTCGCTGAAGCCATTCAAGGAGATTTGGTAACCTTCAATAGTTGCAAGCTAATGTTTTCTCCGCTCTTTTCCTGTGTCAGGCTAATCTCCGTCAAATTACTGCCCCTCTTGCCTTAAATGAGCGGCAAGTGATGTGTTTTTTTGTAAGTCGTTAGGGGGGGGGGGGGGCAATCCGGCTCTTTCTTCTTTTGGCCTCTTTTCGCGTGGAACTGATGAACCGCTTGGAAACGAACACCTCCAAAAGAAGCCGTTTTCACAGCCAATTTCCGTTGCTTACTCTTGAAATCGTTTGGAATTGAATCGTCTTTTTATTCATTTTCTTCATGGTTCATGTCTATCATATTAGAGTCACGCCAGAGCACAAAATCAAGGTAATCTTTGAAAAATAGTTCTCCAGACAAAATCAACTTTTGATTAACCTAACCTTTCTTTTCTATAGCTTTACGATTCCTTTCTTTTCTTTTTTTATAGTTATACATTTCTTTTCTTTTCTTTTCTTTTTTATAGCTTTACGATTCTTTTCAAAGTTTTCATAGAGTCTTTATGGTTATTTCTCTTTGCAGAACTTGTTTAATCTAATTGTTTAGCTTATTGTTTTAAATTTCTAAAACAATAGTGACATTGGGTAGAGATTCGTTTCCAGCTGCGAGAATAGGGAAGCCGATTTTCACAGGAAATACTTTCGGAAAATAATCTACGACGACGTGAGCCAAATCGATTTGCCATTTGGCGAGATTGTGGCTCAACATCGGGGAAACTATGCTAAACTTTTGAAATTTCCCGACGAAATGCAAAAGCCATCACATAATCTGAGATTGTCTAAAGACGAGCGGCGTTTTGAGAAGATGCTCATCGCCGATTCCAACTACCAAGCCAAGCTCTTTCAATTGATCTTCGAGGTGTTAATTGATACGGCGAAAGTGCCAAAAGTGCCCAAAAGTTCTCTGAATCTCAACTCGGAGACTCATTTCAGCTACGGGTGCTGGGATTTGTTCGAGTTGTTGAAAGAAAGAGATAAAAGCCTTGTGAAATTCATCGAATTCGGCTATTTGATCGAGTTTGAATTTGATTGCTTCATGATTCGAACGAATTCCGGTCCAAAGCCATGTACTTTCTTAGCAGGTGACCATACGGGGAGTTTGGTCAAATATGAAGAAAATGGAGACAAGGTTTTGGTTTATTTGGAAGGGGGGATTACCAATGCACGAATAGTGAGCCAGGCCAACCCGCAGCCCCGGGCCAGGACCGGTTGCGAGGAGTTACAAGAGTTGGTGGCCAATGGAGTGAAACAGTTGCACGCGGCAACAATATTCTATCACAGATCGTTGAACAAGAAGTTCAAATTTCAAATAAATGACTACATGTTTCGGCTGAAGTGGCCACCGAGTCATACACACAATTGCCTCAATAGTCAGCCAATTCAAACAGCCGGCTTTCCGAAAGAGATCGATTTTTCAGAAAGAATCGGAATCTGCAGCTGTATTCAAGGGTGTGCGGACAGCGAATCGTTGATCGAGGTGTACACGAAAATCTGTAAATTGTTTTTTTTCGTGAAGCGGAAAGGGGCGGAGGTGTTAAAGACACCGTACGAGGGACGGCTTTTGAAGATTCGCTTCGACGAGATTCGGCAACACCACGATTGGCATTTCCATTGGCACGGGACAGAAAAGCGGCTGATACTCGATCATCCGGAAAGCTATGACCAATCTAGAATTGAGAGCATGTCGATTGATTGTGATTATGGCTTTGGTTGCTTACCTGTATCAACGAATCAATTGGAGAATCAACGAAAGACACTCGGCGTTCACGAGCTATTCAATGTGAACCAACATCCCCGTGAGAACATATTTTTCAGGTTTGGCCCAAATTGAGTTCGAAGCACTGTACTTTGTGCAAGAAATGCTGAACGATATCTTACCGATAAACGATATCAACGATAATAACGGTACATTATTGCCAAAGAACTACTACGAAACTCATGTTTTTATCCCGACAATCGTAAGATTTTTTTTGAAATGAGTAAAAATGAAGATCTTTCATGTTACTAACGTAAAATAACGTTGAAAACTGAGAAAGAATATTGTTAGTATCGGTTATCGGTAAGCTTACCGATACTAACGATACCAATATATCGCTAAGCATGTCTACTTTGTGCTACCTCTCAAACGACAACCATCTGGCACATTGAACTGAAAATTGCAAACTTCAGTGCAGCAGGTGAGCGAAGTTTGGGTGGTCGCACAAAGTACACAGGTGACTTTGAACAATATTTCAATTTCTCGTCTTCATTAGTAATCTGGCGCCGTAGCTAGGGTTTACGAGATTTCCCTAAATGATATTCTAGTTGGAAAACTATTCACTCTGATTTCTCTAACTATACAAGAAAACAGGGTGGGCGGCAATGTATTTAACTTTATCAAAAATGCGCGCCAATTTTCGAGAGCTTTGTTTTAGTAGCAAATTAGCAATGTTTTTTATAAGAGATTTATTGGGTTCAGCCAGAAACGTTGGGAAGACTTTCACAAAGAGCCTCAAAGTCAAAGTTTCGGCATTCCTTGGCACGGTAGTCCTTTGGCTTCAGAATCACTTTTTACTTGAACTTTTATAGCATATCTTAAGATTTTTGATCGTTGGGTGAAAAGTGAGAACACATTTTTCATGTTTGGCTCTGCAAATTTTGTGCCGTAATTTGGATTATTTGGTAATTAGGTGATTTGGACAATGAGATTGGGGGTAAATTGTTATTCCGCTCGCCCCGAAAAGTCAACTTTTTAGCAGTTATTCTTTTTTCGAATCTTGTTTTGTCAGTTCACTTTTAGAGCTCAGACCAAAACAAGGAAAAGCTCTGTTCATTCATTTTATTTATCTCCTCTTTTCTGTAAATGAAAATATTGGTCTAATGAAAAATAGTTCACTTTTTAGAAGTTCTTTTCTTGTTCTTTAGAAGTTCTTTTCATCACTAATTTTCAATCTTTTCTTTCTCTCATGTTACAACCATCGCAAACCCCGATTCTTTCTTTCTTATCTTCTCCTTATTTTTTTTCTCATTTACAGCTTACAATCACCGTAAAATTCCGCCACTCATTCTCCCACTGATTGTTGGTAAATTGATTGAAAGATCGACACAAAGTGAGAGCAAATGTCTTGCTGGTTTTTTGCACTATTTTATTGAAAGGCAAGCAGAACTTGAGAAGCTGGCTGTGTACTTTGTGCTTTCATGATTTCTCTTTATTTGAATAGACAAGTTTATCTAATCGTAAGGGAAAGGGATCAGTTTTAAAAGAAATAAGAAGAAGTAACAAAATACTGGCATGAAAAAAGGAAAGATAACAACAGTTTTACATTTAAAAAGTGTTTTCAAAATACAACATAATCACAAACGGACAAAAAGTCCAGTATAACTAGGTCTGAAAGATTAACCGATCAAGCGCAAATAGAAGAGACTATTTTTGATCCAATCTAGTGAAAACATTTGATTCTTTGCTGGTTTTATTAGCACATTGAGGGCTCGCGAAAACATAGAGTTCAGAATTGTTTCTTCTGTTTTAGAGTTTGAAGAGGCTGTCACCGATTGTCTACCTAAATTTTCAAATATTATATGTACTTCCATAACAAATCCTACTTTAAAGGACAAAACAACTTACCCTGTGGTTCAGAAACTTGGATAGGTTTTTGTTATTCTTTAAAGGGATGACTTTTAGCTTATATATCTCATTGATTTCCTATATTCCTTGTCTCTTTATACGAGTCCTTTGTGATGATAATCACAAAAGATTATCGATAGTATGGACCATTCAACTCACGTATAAGTGGATCTCGCAGCGTCGGTCTTCTCAATTTCATCTCTTCAGCACTTCTTGATTCGTCTTGCTCTACGGCCGAAGCTCGATGTGCATGTTCTTCCTGAAAGTATTGGTTTAGATCCTCTCATATATTCTAGATAGAGTCATTTTAGGGATTTAACCCCTTGCTAATATAGGGGAGCCAAAATAAAATAAGAAAACCACATCGGGAATACAGCTGAATGACCGGAGAGAGTCCAGAGCCGCTTCCAAGTGGTTCTCGTTGATTGGCTGGATCGAACTAAAAGAGCTTTGATGTTTCACATTTTCATATATATAGCGTGTCGATACAGTTTAGGGAACTAAGACAACGTACTAGACATATGCAATCGGTCCCAGCTAATCTGATCCGAACCGAGAAATTTCTGTTCAGAGACAGAACCGCCCCTGCTGCGGGAACCAGATCAACAGACTTCCCCTGATTCGATTTGGGAATTCCTCGTTTCGGTCCGACATACAGGAAGAGGGTTCTCAAATTCCGGGCAAGCCGAAAAGCCGGGGTCTAGCGTAGTTTTACTATGTTCCAATACACACAACCCTGCCCTGAATGTTGCGACTCTGAAATCCTGAAATCGACCTATGCGTCTTATTCCAGTAGCCAGAATCAGAAACGTCGTTGGCGGATCTGCCAACAAATTGAATTGGAAAAAGCATATTGTTTATCAACTTGAATAACCAATTCCTACTTTGCAAGCAATAATGCAATAGCTGCTAGAAGTTGATCCAAAAGAAAAACAAAAACAAAAAGCTGCATCAGAGAGCAAATCCAGACCCTGTTTACCGGATTGAATTGGGGTAAGAACTCGAACTCGGAAAAAGGCCTCTCCTGAAAAGTTATCAGACTTTAATATTAAAAACAACAACTCCGATCAGTTGCTCAACTAAGGCCAGAGACGTTGTCGCATCTGGTCGATCTTCTGGCTCGGGACTCGTGGATTGAATCTGGGGACTCTTCTGCTGGCGACACAACTAATGAAGGGAGAACCGCCGATGGAGCGCCGCTACGAGGAACAGCCCTTTCGGCAAAGGGGCAAGGCCAGTGCCTATGTTTCGTAGACTTAGATGAGAGGTAGACTATTAAGTGTAAAATCGCAAATGCTGTATTAAGACGGTTTGAAGGGGCAGACATAGATTTGTTTCCCGACGAAAAGAATAAAGAATGTAATGTATTTGTATCCAGATGGCCGTGTCCCAGCGCAGCCGGCGAGGATGCGTTCGCATGTTGTGAAATGTGGAGTGAACCGAGACGTCACTGGTGTATCCCGCCGCCAGCCTCAATTGGCGGAACAATTAGGCTGGCAATGTTTATGAAATCTAGAGGTATACTGGGGCTGCCTAAATGAACCTCGCATCCGGCGTGGCCAATGTTGATAGATCGTTTTGGAAACTTTAGACCCTTTGTTGTGAATGTATTTGAATATGGTCCCGGAACAAAAATTCTAGACCCATCATCCGCACAGAATTTAGCCTTCGATTCAGAGTATACTAAATTTCCTTTTATTTTCATAAAATTTCACTTTACTCTCCAGAGGGCTTTACATTCTAGCTAGCCGATAAACCTTACCTACCAACGAGAATGTACACAAAATGGTATTTTGTGAAACGGAGCGCGGAAAGGCGCAATAAAATGTAGACTTTCGGGGCGGAGTCATAGTCACAAAATAATGATTTGAGCACAGCCAAGACACACTTTACAACCTAATATGTGGGCACATATTTGAATCAGGACTTATCATTCAAAACACTTAGCAATTTGATTTTATTCAACATTTCTCCCAAATACTATTTAAAGTTCTAAAAACTGATGATTTTCGATTTTCTAACTTAGACAAATTGCCTCGCATTTCGATGAGATCCACTCAATGCAATAAAAACTCGTATGAGCACTCCCTAGGTATCTATTTCTACTTTCTGTCTGTACAACTGTTACTTTGTGATAAAGTTGAGTTAATTAGTTTTGAATACAGTTACTGTATAGGCTCTAATAAAACAACTGCATATAGGAGCGTCGCGTAGTTTAAGTTTACTCTCAAACAAACGCTTAGATCTCGACACCAGTACATTTATTTCTGCGTGCTTGGTTATCAAATTAAAGTGCAAGGCGCCCCAAAATTAGCCGACCCAATAAAATTCATGGTTTAAAAAGCTTTTCATTGAAAAAACAAAAATTAATATTAATAAATTTATTCTCTAGATTGTTTTCAACAATTTGGTTTATTTCTTCATCAAAACGAATGCTTTAAAAGCTCCTTTTCGGCGCGAGAAGGTTCGTTGGTGGCCTAGTGGATAAGGCATTAGACTTCCGCCCACAGGATTCGGGTTCGCTCCCTGATGCAGCTTTTTTGGATCAACTTCTAGCAGCTAATTGCATTATTGCTTGCAAAGTAGGAATTGGTCATTCAAGTTGATACACAATATGCTTTTTTTTGCTTTTTTCAATTTAAGTGTTCTGTTATCGAGTTTCTTGTTAATTTGTTTTGGTTTGTTTTTTTGAAAAGAGTGTTTAGTTTGCATTTAAATGTTGAATTTTAGTGTAAAATTCTAAGGAATATGCGCAAATTGTGTAAACAATATACGATCGAAGAGATTGAAAGAAAATCCATAATGCAATTAGCTGCAAAATACTAGAAGTTGTTTCAAAAGGACAACAAAAACAAAGAGCCGCATCAGGGACCGAACCCTGATCTTGCCGTTATGCACTAGACCACGAAGGCATCTTTTCCTCCGCTAGGAAGGTGCCCTTTAAAGCGTCCGTTTTGACCCCAAATTTTTGGTGGCCAAGTGGATAAATATATATTATGAAATCGTTAGGCTTTCGCCCACAGGACCAGGGTTCGGTCCCTGGCGGCTTTTTGTTTTTAGTCAGCGCAATCGATTCAATTACCCAATCACCTCAAAAACTTAAATTCATCGGTTCTGCTACGTTCTTTGCGCTCTTCATCACAAAATCAAGCCGGCTCTGTTACCGAACACAAAGTCCACGTCATGATCAAGAAGGCTCGAAAATGAACGAAAAAGCTAGGATT